TTTAATTGCAGTGTTCTTAATCTTTATAAGTTAGTAGTACTGTTCGGGTTTACAGTGTGGGGGCGTGTTAGAACGAGCCGTTTTAGGTAGGCGTGGTTGACTCTTAACTTTAATAAAGAATATCTCTTTGGATTTGAGACTTTAGTCTTTGAAACTTTACAGATCTTCTTTATGCACCAAGAGCTTGTAACACTCCAAAGAGAAAGGAAAACTTGAAATCGCATCATATGACCCCTTTAATATAGGCTAGTTTCTTAGATTTTACAGTCTGGGTTTTTCTGAACATGCGTCAACATGCTCCATCTAATGAGTTTTTTTTTTTGCACAGACAGTTCTGCAAGACATTTAATACCGCATGTGTCACTGATGAACTTGTGCTGTTAGTTCAATACATGCAAGTTAAACAAATCTAAACTCACCTGGAATCTGTACGTAAAGAGACGCGAAGGCAAACATATAAATAGCAGACAGGCACCACAAGAACATGTGCATCGGCAACCTTATTTCTCCCATTATGTGTACAATAAAGTCCTAAAGGAAACAGATGGAGTAGGAATCTCGTCAAGATGGAGATCAGGAAGGTTTGAATTCACAGAACTGACTGAGCGACACGTCTGACGTGCAGGAACGGAGAAGCGCGCTGTTTGCCAACGAATCCTACTATAGCGAAGAATTGGCTCATGAATATTAATTACGTCACGCTCGGGGACGTGAAATTGATTGGTTGAATGGTGTACGTTAGTATATGGATGTTAGAGAACTGGCGTAATCGGAAATTGCGTCAGCGCAGGGAACGATCCATACTATGGCAAGCCGTTTTAGCATTAAATACTCCTTGCTGTACTAGTAGATCTAGTACTGGTAGCTCTACTGGAGTGAATTACGTCAGAGACGCTCGTCCGTGAGTGCAGCCGATTGGCTGAAAGGCAGACTTTGGACTCGTCTAATGAATATTAAGCAGGTTGCATACTTACCTGGATGATCTCAGAAGGCTGACAAATAAAAATCAACATGACCTAATTACTATTTATGAGTGAATATCAGCCGTGCTCACATTTTTTTTTTTTTTTAATATTATTTATATATTTTTTAAGATCGTTTCATTTGTTAGAAGTGTAGAGATTTTTAGAATACTGATGTGAGCTCAGAATGGAATAATTATTTAGTGTGTTCTTGAATTTACTAAGAGAAAAATGATTAAAAAAGGCACTTGCTCACAAATCAAATATAACTGTCTTTTGGGCAACGTATTCTGCATTGATTGCAGTTATAATATTTTAGATCAGATCATAATGAGAAATGAAATTCACTTGAGAAAACCATTATATGTATATATAAATATACTCATTAAAAACAGAAGAATTTAACAAGGACTAAACACATCAGAGCAATAATAGTTTTATTCAATTATATCTTATTAATGTGCAATTTTGATTTGTCCTCAGGCAAACACATATACAAAATAACAGCATTAAAAGTCAGTCCACGCAGGAGCAGAGTCGTCCACCTCATATCCAGAGTGACCCATCATCTGTACATTCAAGTGTCAGTCCATGGTGAATGACAACTCCACCCTAAAATATCTTTGTTTCTTAATGATTAACCGGCATTGCACATGCAAAAAAATCGGGCCAGCCTTGCAGAAGTCAGACCCAAACATTATGATTAAATAAAAGCATACATTGTGGCACATGAAAGCAAACAAACGTTTCCAGCATATGACATGATTTTAAAGAGATCAGTAGGACATGACAGGAAGTGTCTTATTTGAAACCAGTATTTAAAATCATTAACTGGATGTCCATGCGAGTGCATCAGTAGTTTATACCTTCATTTAAATACAAAACACGGCAATTTAGAGAGTCGTTGACGCATTTACACACTCTTTGCGAACACAAAAGACGCATTTTATAGACCTTTTGAATTTGGTAGCTGCCTCCACCACATATGGACAAAATGGAATGTGAACAACAATGGCCAATACATAGAAACATGGCAGATGACCTTTCTGAAAGGCTTCCGATGGAGGAATTTTTAAATATTCTGAAATAAAACCAAATATTGGCCATTTAAAGGATCTAAAATATGACACTTGGGAGAACCAACCAATAAGGTCTAGATTTTTGCTTCTTTTTGGAGATTTGGTTGGTAGATTCAGCGTGAAACTGCTTCAAATGGCATGGTTCATGTTAAAACTTGTTTACTTGAGAGTTTGTCTGTGTGTGTATGTGGGTTCACGTTCCTTCCCCACCGTTGGAGGTCTGTGTTGTGGCTGACTGTGGCTGTACCGAAGTCAACTCGAGTTCAGATTCTCGGACAAAAATAACAGCGTCCCCACTGACATTAATTAGGCACTGCGCCTGTAAAATACAACACAAGCATAAATGAACAAACATGATGGGTTGAGTGTGTACGAGTGTGTGACTGTGCATGTATTAACCTGGTTCTTGTTAGGGTTCTCCATGAACACACACTCCTTCATGCTGTAGGAGACGACAGCATTTCCTCCAAGAGCAGCGACGTGGGCGCGAACCATCGCAAATACTTCAGCAATAAACGTATGCAGAAACCCACTTACACCTCCCTCCTAAAACATAAGAAAAAATAATAATAACAGTAATAATACAATGTGACATTAATACTAAATAATATTAATACCAAGAATATAAAAATTAATTACAATTTACTAATTGTAATGACTTTTAAAAACATTAATATTATTAAAATATTTATTACACTCAAATTAACAATATTTTGCACTGTTATTATTATTATTTTTCATTTAATGATGCTAAATAATTTTATAATATTAATAACTTATTATATAAGTAATAATAACAACAATTTACAACAATATTAATACCAATATTTCCATTAATGTTAACAATTGTAATTATCTGTAAAAAAAAAAAAAAAGAATATTAATAAAATACTTAATATTAATCATATTTATTATTATATGAATAACAATTTTAATAGCACACAAATGTTTATTATTATTAAACTATAAATAGTAATTTCATTACTATTAATGTTAACAGTTGTAATTAATTGTAATATTATTATTGTATTATATTTTTGTAATTGTCATTACTATTATTAATTCTAATTAATTTGAATAATATTTATATTATTAAAGATATTTAATTGTGTAATAGCATTAATAAAAAAATTAAACACCAATAATATTTATTATTGTTATTACTATTATTATTATATATCAGTTATTTTAATTGCATTAATATTATAAACATTTAATATTCTGTTTCATTTATTATTATTATTATTATTATTATTTATTAATAATAATACGAAGCAGCAGCAAATTTCTTAATGTGTGTGAAGTGAATAAGTCTGAATAGGGATTTATGGTAGTAAAAACAGTGAGACTGCTACCTCTCTGAGCGAGGTGGTCTCTCGTAAAAAAAAAAAAAAAGAATATTAATAAAATACTTAATATTAATCATATTTATTATTATATGAATAACAATTTTAATAGCACACAAATGTTTATTATTATTAAACTATAAATAGTAATTTCATTACTATTAATGTTAACAGTTGTAATTAATTGTAATATTATTATTGTATTATATTTTTGTAATTGTCATTACTATTATTAATTCTAATTAATTTGAATAATATTTATATTATTAAAGATATTTAATTGTGTAATAGCATTAATAAAAAAATTAAACACCAATAATATTTATTATTGTTATTACTATTATTATTATATATCAGTTATTTTAATTGCATTAATATTATAAACATTTAATATTCTGTTTCATTTATTATTATTATTATTATTATTATTTATTAATAATAATACGAAGCAGCAGCAAATTTCTTAATGTGTGTGAAGTGAATAAGTCTGAATAGGGATTTATGGTAGTAAAAACAGTGAGACTGCTACCTCTCTGAGTGAGGTGGTCTCTCTAATGAAGAACATGTTGATGATGCCAAGGTATTTGATGATCTTTGCTCCAGGAATGAAAGAGAGCGGGGTCATTTTGACCACTGCGACAGAACTGCCCGAGTAGGAACGATTTGACCGAAGAGAACGAGAGCGACCTTCAGGCAACGGGCTGGCCTTCTCCATAGATGATGCTGTTGAGAGTAAGAGAGAGAGAGAGGGAAAGAGAGAAAGAGAAGAGAGAAAAGAAAGAGGGGGGTGGAATATACCAGACATGGCCTTCAGAGGGCGCTGTACAAGACCAACGGATGTGACGAGACAAACATAGTGTGACCGAGGAAAATGGGCATGTGTGCATTTGTGTGTTGCAGATCAGCAGCATGTGATCAAAGCAAAGCAACAGTACTGCACCATGCAAATAAACAGCATGCAAACACAGAGACAGAGGAGGAGAGAAAGAATGAATGTACGCATGTTCAGTCTGCCTTGATAAATCAGAGGATGATGAGCTTTGAAGAGGGAGGACACTTTTTCCATCAAGAGTGTGAAAGAGCTCAATCTCAAAGCTGTAATACATCATACATGACGCTGCATCACAACTGTTACACAGAGCGCTAATGCGCATGCAGCTCCCAAACATCGCTCAAACTATCTGTCAGTGGACTGAATTAGGGCTGGGCGATATTAATGTGATTATTTTGTTGACGGCATACAATAAAGCAACACAGTGAATACTGCAATGATTTCAGTGGCTGTTGAGTTGATATTTCAGCATCTACATAAATATTGAGATATATTATGAAAAAGAGATTTTTTTTTTTTTTAGCTATAACGCCCAACCCTGAACTGTACAACCTGTGCAGCCATACTTAAGATGCATTAACGCATCATATGTTACTCTGCATGGGACAATGACAGAGTTGGTCTGTGCTTTATTCATACTCATCACATCAGCAAGATCAATTATGAAATCACTGAGGCACAACTGAAAGAGTGACAGTCTTCATCTTGGTTCCTCACTAGGACTCAACCTTCACACTATGTTAATCATGTTTGATTGGATCGGCGTATGGCAGCAAGACTTGTCCACTTTTGGATGCAGGACATGGGAGTATGTGTGTGTAAGGATGCGTGAAGAAGTATAGACTGTAGTCAGAGTAGATGCCATTTTAAATTTGATACATTTGATTTTTAATGAATACGAGGCTGTGAGGGTTAGAAGATAATGTCATACTGCTGTGTACAGAGGACTTTAAAACAATATTGAACACATTGAACCAGAGCCCCATTTTCGTTCACATTAAATAAAATATGTAAAAAAATCAATAATTCACCAAATAAAATTATTCACCAAAAAATGTTAACTTTTGGAACACCAAAATGAAAACATACTCCTAAACCATTTTACTTCCATACTGTTTTACATACAAAACACAAAAAATTATATTAATTAAAATATATATTTTTTGTGTTTTGTATGCGTTATGTATTATTTTAGTGGAATTTGGAATAATGTGCACCTATGAAATTAACGTAATAAGACCAAGAAAATGTAAAAATTTTTTATTAAGGGCCCATTTTGATTTCATCTTAAAGTTAAAGATCCTTTTAAGTATGCAGACTACTCCAACTAGGGTCTATGTGATTGTGCATGTCTGTGTATGTAAGCGAGTTTGCGTGTGTGCTCCTACTTGTTTTAACCGATCCGCGTCTTATGGTGTGAGCTTTCAGTTTAAGCTGCTCTATCCAGGAGCTGCATCTGTCTGCAAAGGAACTGTAATCAACTGAGGAGGCTGGACACACACACACACACACACATATATATATATATATATATATAGACCGACATTCAGAAACAAACACAGATAGACACAAACACGCACATAGAAATATGCGGTCACAAATCCCGCAGACAAGTACATACACACAACGACACAACAGAGGGACAAAGAGAAGAGGAAACAAGACACAGAAAGAAAGAAAGAAAAAAAGGGGTAAAATGGATGATGCTAGTGTGTGTGCTGCAGCACTTCAAACTGTCACACACAAAAGGAGCAGAAATCAAAAGGGGAAAAAAACACCCTGCTGCCTCCAGAACTCTTAGCAACAGATCAGGTACTGACCTCTGGCTGATGGATGGCTGCCAACCTCTGATAGACCTGAGACACACAAAGGAAACCAATGCAGTGTTAAAGGGATGACACTAAAGAAAACAGGATTTTCCTTAATATTGTGAAGAGCCAATGTGCAATGTAGATATCAGATCTCAATAATTTTTCCTAAGATTTTCAGTGGTCCCAGCAAAAAACAAA